CCTTTGCTGTGTTGTGTCTTTTTTTTCCCCCTTTCCATCCCTCCTTGCGACGTTTGCTCCGCACTGTTTCTGTTTTTCTTCTTTTACTTAAGCAGGGGTGGGGAGCATGTAGAGCGGCCCCTCTGTTTTTTTTGTTTGTTTGTTTTTGTTTTTTATTGGTGAGGGAGGGGCACCGCCGTCCCAGCTTCTCGCGCGCATTTTTATTATTTCTTGCTGGGCAGCCGGCGAGCTTGCAGGTAATTATATGCGTAACAAAAAATTTGCTCCCGCGCCTTGTGGCACCTGCGCGATGATGCAATAATACCTTGCCTGTTCTCTGTATGCTTTAAAGAACCCCAGTGAAGATGAATGTGTCTGCATCGTTGCCCATTTTTCCTTGTTGTTCTTGCTTCTCCAGCACCAGGGTTTGCCGCCAATACATTTGCTGTAATCTGCAACCACCGCCCTTTACGCCTGCAAGGAAGGTGGCAGTGAAATTTGGAAGACCATCGGGACACGCCACTGGGAAGTTCTACGCCCCTGCGCGACGTGGCCGGTGCTGCTTTTGGTCGGAAAGCCGCGCGTCAGCTACGCCCATGGATGCCCACGCACGCTCAAAAATGACGGCGTCGGCTACTTCCTCCACGCGACCCAATGCGACGGCACCCGCTCCGGGTGCGACCGCTCGTCAAGCTCCTCCATACAGGCCAAACGGTGGGGTGGGGGCGGCGGCGCAGGAAACGGGGCCAGCCATCAGTAGCTGGCGCCTCGCACGGGATGCAGTAGCGCGGAAGTTGTCACCCTCCACAGAAAATGTATCACCAAAAGGAACCACTTTGGCTTCTGGTGCGGGTTCCGCGGCGAGTAGAACAGCAGATCCGAGGAAATTCGCAAGGGAAGGGAACAACCTTGGCCGAGTGGACGAAAGACCTCCTCCGCCTTCTGCTGGCGTACGAGCGTCAACCACGTCAGACGGAGATAAGGGCTATTTCTCTCGTGCCGCGGCCTCCGCTGGGCAAAGTGCCCTGAGGGAAAACGTGGAAAAGAGAATACCATCGAAGGTTGACGGTACAGTCAAGCCACCGGAGGAGAAAATGGCGGCACGGTCGTCCCGTGCAGGGAGGGACGATCCGACAACTAATTCCGCGAGAGGCTATGGAAGCAGTGAACGTCCATCCGGCACTTCCGCTGCTCACGGAAGACCCTTCTCGTGGACAAGGCCTGGTGAAAGTACACGCGGCGAAGATCATAATATGCATTCTTTAACAAGAGAAAGTCTTGGGGGTGGGCGTGGCGTACCACAAGCATTTAGCGATGGCCGAGTGGACGGCAGAAATGAGATTGTGCATGGCCCACTGCGAGGGCGAATGAGTCAGCGGCCGTCTTTGCTTGGAACCCCTTACGTGGCGTCGCGGATCAATGCGCCTCGTGCACGTTCACAACCAGTCCCAAGTTCTCGTTCTCAGCCTTTAGAGAATGAGGATCTTATACGTTTTCTTGGTGCCTACGGGACCCCACCTAGGCGCTCCACCGGCGTTTTTCCGTTGCAGCAGATGGACAGGCAGTCAAGAGATGCGAAGGAGCCTCTTATTCCCTCTTATTCTCCTTACCCCACGACGCATCGCAGTTTGTACGCCGCAACTCCGCCAGCGAATAATACGTACCAGCTCCTCGATGCAGTTGAATACGACACTAATGACAGCTCAAAGTTATTAGAAGACGAGCTTTCAAGCCTGTTGAGTGGACTGGAGGCGTATCAAAAGCGATTGGAGCGGGCGGCGCTCGTGGTTAGTTTGGAACGACAACGCCGAAGACGCTACTGAAGGAGAAAAGTTTCATTTTGATCTTCATCCGGTAGTTGCCTTTCTTTGCATTTCTACTGCAACATGTACACTGTCCTTTCTCATTCTGTATATCTCTCCTTCCCTTTTTCTGTGCGGTAGTGCGTCCGCATTTACGTATTGCGAGGGGAAGTTTTGCAAAGGGCGAAGTTGAAGTAGCGGGCTTGTAATACTTGCGTGGAGTATGAAGTAAGAAAAGCGGTATATACATATATATATATATATGTGTGTGTGTGTGTGTATGTATATATGTATGCTTTACGAGGTGACTCAATCGGCAAGAGGCCAGAGGAGAAAGAGGAGAGTATGTACGTATGTATGCGTCTCTGAGCCATGTTCGGGTCCCTTCCCCTGTGTCACACCCCCAGCCCTTATCAGTGGTGTCCGTGTATGTACCCTTTGTTTTTACCTGTTTTTTTTGCCTGGTAATTTTTTGAGTGTGCCCGAGCCGATTAATTTGTTTTCTTTATTTGTTTTTCGATCGCGTTCCATTCCCCATTTATTTTACCTGCCCATCCTCCTTTGTTTTATTTTCTAGTTGCTGGCTTGCGTTTGCAGTCCCCGGAAAGTGCTGCGTGTGGGAGGGAAAAGAGGAATAGCGCTCCGTGCGATAATGGAGGCGTCAGACGCAGGCGACCGGGTGGCGCGCACCTACATGTACGTCAAGCAGCACAAGCTCAACAACCTTTTTGCACACTTTCTTCAGTTACTAATCTACCACAAACCGGAGGACCCTCGTGCCTTTTTGCGGCAAGAGGTCCGGCTCATGCTAGAAGCGAGGACGTCGACGCCGCTCTTCACAGAGCAGGACCTTGAAACGATGTTTGATCTCATAGATGTGACGAAGCAGCGCTGGGTGACAGTAAGTCAGCTACGGAATACATGCAAGAACTTGGCAACAGCTGCTGGCGAGGGGAACCTTGGCCTTTCCCCTGAGAAAGAGGAGGCAATTGAGCGTGCTGCCGATGCGGAGGGGCATGTATCAGTGGAGAAGTTCAAGGAGGTGCTGGCGACGCAGCTACTCACAAGAGAGTTCTGGGATGAGTAAATTTCGCCGGAAATCGAAGAACTTGAAAGTTTATTTACAGCAGAGAAGATGAGGATGACTGTCCATGCATTATTATCAGCCACTGAATGAATTATATGTACATACTCTCTTTTTGTTGTTACTTTTCCAAATTGGTGTTATTTTATTGTGTTTTTCTTTTTCTTTTCCTTTTTTTTCTTGCGGGAGGGAGAGCTGTGGGGGAACCTATCGCACTTCTCTGGTGTCTCCTCCTTTCCCTTGCGGAAACACCCGCCTTGCCGTTGCCCGTGGATGCTTCTCGCATGTCTATATTCTCCGTTATAGGTAATCCCTCGCCGTGTTGGAGGCCGGCGGTGAAAGGGGGGAAAAAAAAAGAGAGTTGGCTTTCGTCTTCCTGTGTGTTTCTCTGATTTGCCCATGTGTCAGGAAGAGATAGTCTAATATATATATATATGTGTGTGTGTGTCTATATCTCCTTTATCGACGTATACGCATTACAATAATAGTTACCTCTGAGGTGGCGAGAGGGGGGGGGGGGAGAGAGATAGTTATAGAATTGAAGGATATTCTTTTGCGTTTGGGCCACTTTGCTTGCCGAGTGCCTTGTCTGCTTCTCTCACGCTCGCCTGTGTGCTTGGCGGGAAAAGGGGGTTTTTCCTGGTTCGGTTGCCCGTCTCCTTGCTGTTGATCTATGTTGCCGTTGAGAAGGAGGGTGAGAAAAGAAGGGAAGAAAAGTAGCAAATAGCGTGCGAGAGGTAGTGGGAGAGAGAGAGAAACGCCTAGCGTGTGGAGAGAGTGGCGTGCCATGCTGGAAAGGCAGCTCTCTGTGCTGCTGGCGACGTACCTCAATCGATTTATCTGTGACCTCAATGAGGAGCAACTGCGCGTCTCCCTCTGGTCTGGAGAGTTAGTGCTGCGGGATCTGGAGCTGCGAACGAACATTGTCGACCAGATCGCCCTTTCCCTCTTTCAGGGGCGACAGGAGGTCGGAAGCCGCGAGGAGGCGGACGGCGGTGATGCCGCAAGGGCGACGGCGCAGGCGCTTATGATGCCCTTCACCGTTGTCAAGGGAGTAGTGAAGGAGCTCAAGATTAGTGTTCCGTGGTCAGCCGTTGATCGAGAGCCCATTAGTCTGGAGGTTATTGGGGTGGAGATTGTATTCGGCCTTTTGCGCGCCAGGCCGCACAACGCCGACGAAGACGCCGCCCGCTTCATGGCGGTGAAGCAGAAACAATTAAATACGTTTGAGGCGGGCCGGTTAGGCGGCCGAGCTGATGAGGGTCATGAGCTTGGGATGATGGGTGCCCCGCCTATGCCCGGCACAGGAGCTGAGAGGAAAAAAAAGCTCTCCTACGTTGAACAGCTCACTGAGACGATTAAACGGAATATCCATGTGGTGCTGCGTGACGTGTCCTTGAACTACGTCGTGGACTATCATGGTCTCGCTCCGTGTTTTACCTGTGCACTTCGTGTGACGTTGGACAGCGTGTACATCACCACCACGGATGAGGAGTGGGAGGATCGCTTCATCATGGATCTATCGATGCTATACTGCAAGAAGTTGGTGGTGGGCGGGCTACGGGTGTCTCTCCATGCCGTAAAGCAGCAACACGGTGCGGAGGGGGCGAACCAGAAGGCTGCATCACCAACGTGGCGGAAGGCGATGAACATTCTGCAGGCGGAGGGTATCACAGTGCTGCTACACTTACCCAACCCCAACTATAGCGCAGATGCTGTCGTGGAAGATGTGAAACGACCTGTGGTTTCTGTGATTGCGACAGCTCCCATTCGTCTTCGAGCTTCCTTTGGAGTTGTTGGATTTTTGACGATCATTAATGACTCACTCAAAAATGGCTTATTGGGGTTGAACTACAGGCAACACCTTCATCTCCTTTCCAAAGATGACGAGGGGACACTCACATGGCCACAGCGACGCTGGAAATTTGCACTTTACTGTGTCATGGACGACGTCAGAAGATCCAAAAACGAGGCCAAAGGACACCAGCGTTTTATCGAAGGTGTTGTACTCTTTGGAAGGCGCAGAAGAAAGTATTGTGCACTATGGAAGCGATTCCAGGGAGTAGCATGGCTTCCACCTCTTACAACAGATGAGAGAAATACTCTACATGCTCTGGAAGAGCTCCTCACAGTAGAGCAACTTGTGTTTTTGCGGTGCCTGGCGTACGCTGAGCTAACGGCGGAAAGACAGTCTATGAGGCAACAGAAGTTATTTATTGAAGAAGTGAAGAAGCGGAAGCAGCTTGTCAACGAGAGCGTCGAGTCGGGCAGTGGCCGGTGGTGGCGGTGGCTTGGACGGGGTGAAGCCAGTGAGCGCGCCGCCACAGCCGAGCCAAAGGAACAGGAGGTTGTAGCAGGTGGTGGCATTGAGGCAGAATGGGCCTTTGGCCAAAAATTTCTTCAGCAGCTTGCAACAAGACGTGTGGGGCCTTTCATGGCATCCTCATCCTCGGCAGCAGCAGCATCAGCATCAGCATCAGCATCCACGGTGGCGTCCACAAATCCCATTGTCATTTTGTTGGATCTCCCACATGTCGATCTAGAGATTGGGCCAGACCTCTGGAGGAGCGATATGACCAAAAAAAAACCTCTGCTCTCGTACCTAGCGAATCTGCAACAGCGTCTAAAGCTCGACCTCAATGATGTGAAGTGTAAATACGCTAAAAGTGCAGCTCCCCAGCAAGATCGTGTTGGATTTAGTCTAGTTATTGGAAGTGCCTTTGTGGGCTTCACTGGATCTTTGTCATCCGTCGTACTTGGGACGCATGACTTGCGTGATGGAAAGAAGAAGCATGAGGAGGACTCTGGTCAGAGTGGCGATATTGTGCGTGCACCTTGGATGTCCATTAATGTTAATGAAACGTATTCGCTGGTGAGTGGTTTCATCACCACCACCTTGCTAACTCTCCAACCATTGTGTGAATTGCAGTGGTGGGTGTCTGGTGTTCGAGAGTTTATTGCATTACTGCCGGAATACACGAAGCTGAATTTGGGCCCTTCCTGTGAGTCGCCTATGCCGCATTGCAGTTCTACATCTTTGCCTACAGTAGATATTATCATTGCCGGAATTCTTCTTACCACGCCCTTGTATGCTGACGATGGCACTGAAAGAAACCTGTTTCTTCGCGTTCCCGACCTCCATCTATTAAGCATTAAACAAGAGGAGAAGGAGGATGCGCAGTACGGTGAGGATGAGAGGCCGAATGGGCAACAGCTTCTTATGCGCGCGTCTGCCCCCACCATGTGCTGGCGTTTTTCTATGGGTGGGAAAGAGCCAATTTGTCTTGATTGCGAAGGTGTTGGTGATCTCTTGGTGTTATCGTTCGTCAAAGCGGAAGTGGTGTTTAGTGAGCAGCTGAGCGTCTTTGTGAGGACGCGTGCCAAGGCGACAGTTTCTCCCGCGACGCTTGGACTCTTTCATGAGCACATGAAATGCCTGGAGTTCGTCGAGGGAAATGTTGGAGAAGCCCTCCTCTGCGAAGTCATGAACAATGACGGAAAGTGGCGGTTGAAGTCCTCCACGGCACTCGCTGTTGGGGGAACTGCCATGACGTTTCCAGCGGCTCGATGCCGCAGTTTTCTCCGTCTGCTCTACCGATGGGCCATTGCACGAGAGGTGGTCTGTAGAAAAAGAGCTGCGCCAGCTGCCGTCGACGTCGCTTTGCCCCTGCTGCATCGTGTATTTGTAGGTGTCGACTTTGTGCATGTAACGCTGCGTAACGCGAACAACGAGGACGTGGTTGAGGTTGAACTCCCGGGCATGGAACCCTCCTCATATGGAACGGGGGCTTTGGTTCCATTGTCTCCCGCGCGGGACGCATTTATACTAGAGATGACGTCATCTGGTACCACGGGGTACAACACACTGATTTGTCTACCGGATTTGCACGTCACGGCTCCCTCAGGCCAACACGTATTTGTGCTTGAGGGGCTAACAGCCACGCATAACGCCCGTTCCTCTTTGCTTTCCTTGGCGGCGGAAGGGTTGGACGTACGGCTTTGTCGTTCGCTTGTCGATTGTGTGGAGGTGTTGCTTATGTCGTCCGCCTTATTGCGGACCCCTCCTTCCTCAGCTTGGCTGCCGCTTCCCAGCCTGGAGGAGGCCGCAGACAGGTGCGTTTTGCCAGACGCCACGGCACACGCCAGCCGCGTCATGGAGACGACGCTAAAGCGATTTAGCCTTCGCTTTCAGTTTCACCGGACAGAAGAGTGCGTCGCCGTGAACCTTGGCGACTTTTCACTCCGCGCCGACAGCACCTCTGGGAGGCGAACTTTAAACCTGTGCGGAGGGCTTGATAGGGTTGAGTACATTGCAGAGAACGGGGAGGAAGTGAAATCGTTTACGCTTCTTGCGCCCAGCACCGGCCTTAGGGGAAGCGTGGATCCCGCCTCCTTCACCTGTGCCCTGGAGAGCAGGAACGACGAAGTCGGCGATGGCGGCCGAAGTGTTGTGTCGTTCCACACGAAGGGGGGCAGAGTGGGAGTGTTTCGCGCGTATTGGATGCGGCTGCTCTCCATGCGGTATGACCCCACCGTTGTCAGTCTGTTGAACCTACTTGGCTCTGAGAAGCGCGGCTGCCCCGCCGCGCCGGGCGTCCATGCGGAAGTGCTGCAGGCGTCGGCACCAGCGAGGGAGGCGCAGGGCTCCCCGGGGCTGACGGTCGTGGCCGGGGAGGTGACTGCGCTGGAGCTGCTGCTCGCGACTGACGTTGCGGAAGAAATGGATTTGCTGAACACTGAGACGTACAGCTCCTTCTTCGTGGAGACGCTCACGCTCAGGGCGGAGGTGTCGGGAGGCGATGAGGGACGTGCTGCCGGCGGTCACGCTGCGGCTGCACCGCCACCGTTGCTCCGGGGACAGCTGACGTTGTGTGGGATGTCTTACTTCTCCCTTGGCGAAGGCAACGGTGCGTGGTTTCCACTCATCCCGCACGCCTCATTGCTTGTGGAGAACTACACACAATTGGTGCCAAACGCAGACAAGAGCGGATACGAGTATGTTGGGGGCGGTGGTGGCGATATGGCACTTCACCTGCTGATTGGCCCGCCAGACAGCAACGCCGCCGATGCCGCGGCGGCGGCGGCGGTGGATATCAAGCTTACCTTGCCCTGGCTGAATACCCTTCTCCGGGCACTTGCTGCCAACATTTTCAGTGCGGTCCACTTGGCCAACGGCGTGCAGGAGACCGAGGCCACAGCGGCGACACCGGCGGCTGGGAAGGTGACGAGCACAACAGCCCCATCGTCACGGTCGACGTCGGTGTCGTTTCTTGTCACGGTCTCCTCGCTGCGCCTTGTTTTCATCAAGGAACCGGATATTTTTGTTATACGTGCCCAACTTCAATTTTATTCCTTTAGCGGTGTTGGGGAATTTGACGGCGCGACAACCTCGATGCATATGGTTCATGTAGGCAAGCTTACCATCGATGATATCAGCCCTAATCGCCGCATTATGAGGCGTGATATCCCTCAATGGCAACAGCACCTGCATGGCGTCGCACGAGACGCCCGCGCGAGTCAAAAGAAGCGGATGTTCGAGTTGGAGAGCGGCTGCATCTCTACGCCAACGTCTCAGACAGGTGTGGACAACACGACGTTGGCTAGTGCAACCGATTTGGTGTTCGATGGGGTACAGATTTACACGGCCCGATGCTCTTGGACCACACTTCTCGGCATGCTTTTCTTTGAACTTCCTGCGGGGGAGTGGGGCGCAGCGAAAAACAGTGCCCCCACACTTGGCAGCGACGTTGAAGCGAAGTCCTCTGTGCTGACCGTGACTGTTCATCAGCTCAATCTCCACTTGGAGCTGCCGTGGGAAGAGCCTCTGGCGCAACTATCCGCAGCTTCTGTGCGGGTGCAGCTTCAGCAGCGCGATGGAGATAAAACCCTGGAGTTTTCTGCATGTGAACCCATCTCTCTCACCCCAACTTTTGAACACGCGGCAGAGGTGAATATCCTGGAATGGGTGGACGCAAGCGAGGAGACAACACAGACTCGTGCGCCAATGCCGTTTCTCCGCATCTTTGTCACACAATCATGCAATAATCGAAAGGAATACGAGTTTGACACACCGTATGAAGAGAAGCCGCGGGTTTGCTACCCTAATAAGGTAGAGGCAACCCTGCAGTCCATGAGGCTCTTTGCTGATACGAAACTCATGACCCGTTTAGCGCGCTTTGCTTTGGATGAGGCGGATGCGTATAGTTCCCTTATCCCGGCTTCAAAGCCGGTAAGGGCAGTGCCCCCTATGTCCCTGACCATGATGGATATTTCAGTGAAGGATCTCCAGATACTTTTTGCCGCAGTGGAACCAGCGCAGGCGCCAAGCTGGCGTCTCACGGTAGAGGGCGTCAAGGTGACGAACGAGTGCGTTGAAGAGGTTCTTGACGGTAAATCTCCTGCAGGAATGGGAAGCCTTGGATGTTTTTCTAATGTCTACACAATGAAGCTGTCTGGGGTGTTCTTTGCCTGTGAGGGGCTTTACCCTTTGCGGTTCCCCAACACCGTCGCAAGTGCGCAGCTCCCCAAAACGCAGAGTGTGTTTACTGAGTGTCGGTCAACCGTGTCAGTCACCTCCGATGATCGTGCGCACACGCGGTCCACCTTCGTCATAGTTTCGCCGGCATCCTTGAATGACGCCCAGTCGCGAGCATCTTTTTTTAAACGCATCCACATCCAAACTGAGGATGATGCCTGTCTTTCCATTTCTGCACTTCACGTGCGGGATGCGCTGCGTGTGCTGCCACCGCGAGTGCCGCCGGAAGAAGTGCCGCCGTATTACACCGCGCCGGTCAGCGTGGACCAGGCGTCTGCTTCTGAGGCGTCTCTCGTCTCGGTTAATTTGCCCCGGTTTTCCATCCGACTGACGGAAAGCGGCCTTGTCAAGGCGGAAGCGAACGCAGGTAAAGGTGAGAAAAAATGCGTCAGCGGGGCCAACCTCACCACCATCGCCGCCGACGCCGCGAGCCTCGCGACACTTCGCTTTCTTGGAACCGTGACACTCTCCGCTTTCTTCGACTCGCATGAGGAGGCCCTGATGCGGGCACGGTTTGCCATCAACGGGCCGTTTGAGCTTCTGGACGGCAATGGCGTTGTTGTGTTGTTTCGCCGCCGCAGTGCGTCCTTGACTGAGGTAGAACATTCACCGCCGTGCCAACCCCCCGGGCCGGATGACGCCGGACTTCGCGTTGAGGCGGCGGACGGCCCAAGGGAACGCCAAGTGTGTCTGGAATCGCATGGAATCATCGTCGCACTTCAGCCCCATACCGTGGATTTTGTGCTACGTATGCATAACTTTATTGCTCTCATGCATCGTGAAGGCTTCTTCGCGATGGAGCACAAGCACAGTGCGGGCAACACGGACGCAGCACAACCTTCTTCTTCCCCGGTAGAGAAGCAAACTGTATTGACTATTCGTGTGGCTCTGCTTTCACTGACAATGGAGCGTACGGCGCTAATGGAGGCGCGAAATGTGGAGGCACGTCTCAGCTGGAAAGATGGTGATTCGACGCCGGTGGATGCCTCCACACCGTACAAGATTGTCATTGGAAACCTTCTGCTGCGAAAAATGGATAGCCTATACGCGTTCGTCTGTCTCTCATCTCTTGAGGTGTTCCTCGGAGTTGGGGAAGTGAACCTTCGAGCAAATAAATTTGTTGTCAACAACTACGACATGTCGTTTTACGCGGAGCTCTGGAAGAGTGCGGAGGCGCTCTACCGCTATGTCCTGCAGAATGTCACTTTCTCAAAGAAGAAAGAAGATGGGTTTAAGCAGTCTGTCATGGTGACTTTGACCGATGTCCGTGTGTGCTTCTTTCTCTCTCGACAATACCTCGTCTCTGAGGCGACAAACGGCAGGATGGAGATTGTGTTCCCCGTGGTGGTTTTAAAGCAAAAGGCGTGCACGGCAGGACGAAGCTTGACGCTTGAGACCGAAAATGGGGTCATACGCTACCGCCGCCCAGAGGGTCTACTACCGCCCTTTGTGAAAAATCTGTCCTTGTCTTGTTTTATGGAAAACAGCCTTGTCACGCTGTCTCAGTCCGTCGTGGTACATCTCAGTGGCGTAGAGGCCTTCATTCCGCTTGGGGACACGCTGCAGTGCTGTGTGGAGGCCGTCGCGCAGGCCTTTCTGCCTCTGCTCTCCGTTTCTGCTGCGGCCCACCGCAACGTGGACGCCAGCCTTGCCCCCACGGCCGAGGTGCCTGCAACCCCGCTGACCTGCGACAGGTTCGTCTTTACTGTTCCTTTGGTGTCGTTGAATGTGTGTGCCCTCCAGTCAGACGATGAGGCGTTGGTGGAAAAACCCACCGTCCTTTTTGGTGTAACTCTCAGTAACCTAATGTGGGAACAAAGTCGCACTGGTGTGAATGAGAAGGTCCTTGCCCAGGTTCTCTCTGTCACAAGCACTGTGGACGCGACCTTCCAGAAGGAATTTGTCAGTGCGACGGCCCCGAGTGGGGCGCTCGATGAGCCGTCCCGGTGGGCCGTGTATTTCTGCAAGGAGATTTCTCTGAGCGAGGCAGCAGCGCCCTTGTCCCAACCCCACACAGATGAAGGCGAGGCTGGAGGCGGGGATATATTGCTGCACGAACAACTTCCAACGCGCCTTGTAAGTATCATTGCCCGCGCACATGCGGTAAGGCTTACCTTGTCACCGACGCTTCTAAGCACGCTGAATGAGCATGTTCTTTTACATGTTGCCTCGGGTGTTCATCGCACGCGAAGAGTAACCGCGTCACGCTTGCCGTCTCGTCCTGTGCGTGATGCTGGTGCCTTGTGGAGTTGCAGCTCTGTTGGGGATCCCAACGATCGGCTCCTCATCATTAGAGGTGATTATTGTCTGAGCACGGACCTCATGCTGGGTGGGAGACGGGGATCGCTTCTCCGCTTTGCCAAGGCGACCAATGAAAGTGCCTCACTCAATAAAATAATTCTTAAAGGCGTTAACCACGCAAAGTTGTTTGTGTCCATGTTTGTGGCTCCCGATGGCAGCTTGAAGCCGCCTATCGTGGTAGATCCGGGCCTCACGGTCGTGATTGAGGGGGTGCCGTTTGTCACAGGAGGCGGAAAGCTGATGGATTACGTCGAATTGGGTGCGCGTTCGCTCCTGCTGGCACCCACTGAACTGCCCACCGCCGCGGACTCTGGAACTCCGTTCCCTTCACTAGAGGCGGCTGCCGGCGTGCCCTTGGGCACCGCGCGTTGGTATAACCTGCAGGTGGCGATTGATGCCTCGACCGATGTTGCGCTGAGCCTGTGGTCGGAGCATCAATCGATCGAGGTCTCCGGTGAGGCGTACGCACGTTACAGGCTGGAGAAGAACTGCTATGAGGGCAACCGCGGCGTACGAGACTTCATAGATGAGGCTGGCGAAGTGGCGCTCTCAAATGTGTCCATCTTGTGCGACAGTGGCTGCATCACGAAGGACCCCACAGGCCTGATGGTGCACGTCAAGCACCACAAACTGAAGGAGGACCACACAAATGCCGGCATGACAGTGGTGCGGGCGATTCTATCGACCACCAGTTTCACGCTTTCGGCGGGGAACCTCCAACTTCTCTATGGTACCCTCAAGCAGCTACGCCAGGGTTTGAATCATATAGGATGCACCATGGAATTAACCGCAACCGTAGAACCCGCGCAACACAGTGACGAGGAAGACAACAGGAAGTTCGTAACGAGCGGGAAGACGTACACTGGAGCTGTAGATTATGCTTCCTCCCATGCTGAGCCATCCTTGTTGTGGTCGCGTGAAGGGGAAGTGACGCCATTGATTGAGTTCGCTGCTTCCGCAGCTTGGGTCGAACTCATTTTAACAAATGACTTCTACAGACCGGAGGTGGCCGTTGTTCTTGGCAATTCTGCCCTCATGGCAAAAGGGAATCGTAGCTTGAATCGCATGAAGTGGACAGCCTCAACCGTGGTACGTGTTACAGACTACCCACAACTGCAGCCTTCACGTGATGTTCTTCTTGTCTCACCTGAAGTGGCAGTGGAGTACGCACGATACACCGGTGGTGGGTTCTCCCTTCAAGGAGCCCTGACTTGTCCTGAACTCTCCCTGACGCTGCCGTTAGTGACGGCGTTGCGTCTTCTTCGCTTTCGTTTTGACTTGCAGCGCTCAGGGGCATACTCGTTTCTCAACTGTACCGGCGTTCCGCTCCTCCTTTTGGCGGTAACTCAGGTGAACCAGACGAGTCCGAAGGCACGAACGCAGCTCTGCCGTCTGCCGCCGGGCAAACTCGTCAAGACAAGCCTTTTTCACCACAACCAAACTCGATTCCGCGTCATCCTCGACGGCAAGGAAGAGGTCGACGCGTACGACGAGAACCCCGGCATGTTCGGTACCGAGGTGAACTTGTCTGCGCTGCAGCGTGGGGCAACGTATCGCTTTCTACTTTCTGGGCCCTCTATTGGCGCGTTAGATGCCGTGATGCGCCTGGATGAGAAGGAGCGCATTGTTGACATCACCACGTCTGTCGAAATAAAGAATGAGCTTGCCACACACGTCGTATGCTTGCCAGGAACGCCTTCTGATCCATGCAGGGTCCATCCAAAGGAAACACGTTACGCACCGCTTCCCTGCCTCCGTCATCCTTTCTCACTGACCGTTGGAGAGTGGCGATTCAAGGCAAGGAACTCACTTGTTACCTTGGAAAGCTTAGTTAGCGCATTTACGCTTCTCACACATGGAGAGAAGGGAATGTCTGCAAATGCGATTAACGACGACGTTGTTGTTGCTCCTAGGCGCGCATACATGGAAGGAGATGACACACTTGTGATTCCGTTAACTCTCGAAAAGGAACAGCATGATGAGGGTTTGGCTGAAAGGGAGGAGATGCGTATTCTCTTGCTGCTGACACGACGGGTTGCGTTGGAGAGTGCGCCCCGCCCCTCACGCCTTCTGTCCCGCTATGAAGTAGAATTGCGTGTCTGTCCAACGGTGACTCTCTTGAATGAGACGGGGGCGGTGCTTGCTGTAAACGTGGTACCCTCCCCCTCAGATGCGGCCGCGCACACACGGACGCTGCTGCGTGGAGGAGAAGAGTTCAATTTCTTCTCCCAATGCCCTGAGGGAGAAGTATTTCTGGTGGATTTAACGTGCGAGTTCGCGGATGGTGTGCAGTTCTCCTCTGTCAGACCTCTACCGCTCACTTTCAGAGGAACTACGGCGGTGGCCATAAAGGATCCACTTGGTGGGAAAACGGCCGCCCTTTTGGTGGAGCATGCGGCGCACGGTAAATTCATTGTGCGTGCGGCAGCCATTCTGATGAATGCGTTGCCGTTTCCTGTGCGAGTCTACGACGCGTCGAATGCCCTAATGCCGGGGCAGAAGGATGCGGAGGGGCTTCTCCCGGGACATGAGTTGCCTCTGACGCTACCAATCTTTCGGGAGCAGCTGCGGCGGAGGCCTGATGCCGCGGTCACGGTACGAATTGCGGCAGGTGGTCCCAATGCGATTTGCTCGCAACTGTTTACTTGCAACGCCCCAACCGTTTCAGGCATGCTTCAAACTGTGGACGGGGACGTGGTTCGCATCTTCAGGGCCCAACGCTTGGGAGGGATGAAAAACGTGTTCACCCCCACTCCTGCAATTCGTCTGGAACCCCTGTGGGTGTTCCGCAATCAGAGCCACGTCTTCTCCTTAACAGTGCTCTCTGTGGGAATGACGGAGCCCAGCATCATTGAGCCACAGACAACGAAGGAATGGACGGTCTTTGCCGTGGCATCGGCGTCCGATCCACTATTGCAGCTGCGTTACGGTGGAAACGGGGAGGAGCTATTTATGTGGTCTGAGCCGCTCAAGCTGGTTACCCTCTCCGGCGACAACGTGCCCATTGCCATGCGGCATCAGCTGCATGAGAGAGTGACGGAAACGGGGGAGCTGGTGTTGCCGCCAGGCGTTGTAGAGGCAGGCGTGGCCGTCTACACGAGCATGCGGACTCCGTTGATGGCGGGAGAGTCACCGACGTGTGAACGTTTTGCGTGTCTCTCCATCACCCCTTGGAGAAAAAATGGGATTTTTTACGTGGACTTCTCTTTGGATGGGAATGTGCCGGTAGTTGTAGAAAATCGTACTGGACGCTCGCTACAATATGAACACGTGCGAAAGGCGCCTTCAGCTTCGCAGCAAGTTGCACGTGCCTACGTTGTCTTGCCCTTCACGGACGGTGTAACCTGTTTTGAGAGCGGTGATACCGCCCATGTCATGCGTCTCACCCTGTTTGACGGGAAGCGGCCTCCTCAGCAGTGCATCGTTGATTTGGCAAAAGCGGCTGCGGCACGTGGGGCTATAAAGGCATCTGCAGAGATGTTTGTTCTCTGCACGTATGACTATAGTATTCAACGCTACTACGTCTCCGTTACCGCGGACCGCTCGCTTGAAAGCAGGCTTTTATTTCAACCTCAGTATATCATTCACGTGGAGACGTTTATTCGCGCCCTCTCACTGTATATCGCCTCTATATGTGTCCCAAGGGACGAGACCGCCTTGCAAGCATCGCCGCTGGCGGCACTAGTGATGAGGAATCAGCTTCGCGTGGGCCGAGGCATCACTGCTGAGGGGTCCACTAACGCCGAGGTACTCGCCGCCCTCAAGTGTCGTGAGCTTGACCTCGTCCTCGTTCAGGCCCTTGGAATCTACGGTGTTGTTTCTACAAATGAAAGGCACTATTTTGGCCGCCTAGACGTTGGACGCTTGGCTGTTATTGACTGCACCAACCCTCGACCAGCGTACCCTGTTGTCATGGAGCTAAACAGCGAAGAGAGGCGTCTGGGTGCGTCTGACAGCAAGGCGGTCAAGCCCTCCTTGTCGGTGAAGATGCACGCTCTTGCTCCGGGGGAACCCACAGCCGTGAGGACGAGGGAACGTGCGTCCGGGAAAGGTGTGACCATTCCGCTGCAGCACCTCTCCCTTGATGTGGCTCCAGTGACGCTGAAACTAACCGATTCCTTACTGTTTCTGCTGCGTCAGGCTGGCGTCTGTGCCTGGGAGGCCACCCAGCAAACCGTGCCTACTCGCGCCGCTGCTGAGCAGGTGCTGGGAAGCGGCAACCAGGCTGGCGGTCCCACATCATCATCTTCCTCGCTTGAGGGCATTCCTATTTATAACTGCCGCATTACGCACTTGCATGTTTCACGCATTGATTTAGATCTTACTCTCACACGCCGTAGCGATGGAAAGTTTGATCCTTTTCTGGGTATGCCTCTTGGAAGCCGGTTTATACCATCTGTGGAGCGGGCTCCCTTGAGCATCAGTGGGGTGGAAAGAATGGATGTGAGTCAGCGTGGAAGCTCGCCATATGCTGCATTAGTGGCGCTGCTCTGGCCCTCGTATCGCAGTCAGCTGATGTTTCAGCTCTACAAGGTCGTTGGTTCCCTTGAGATTCTGGGAAATCCCATTGCACTATTAGGCGGCTTACGAAAGGGGGTTCAGTCGTTTGTCGTTGAGGTGGCGGATATGAACCCTGTGAAGGGTGCCCGTGAATTTCTTCTTGCAACTACCTCCTCGACGCTGCACACGGTTGGGCTGCTCTCCCGCGTAGGCAGCCGGACGGCGGCAACCCTCTCGTGGGACAATGACTGGCTTGAAGCAAGGGGGGAGGATGAGCGAAGTAGTGACCCGTTGAATAGGAGCGGCGTCTTGCGAGGTATGGCGCAGGGACTCCGTGATGGTATTGAGGGCGTCGTTGCTCGCCCACTGAGCGGCGCGCGAGCCACCGGTCTCGCTGGGTTTTGTACGGGCGTCGCAACCGGCGCCGTAGGGCTGCTCACTCGGCCTGTTGCTGGGGCACTGGATGGATTTGGCAACACCGCGGAATTTTACTCGAAGTTACTGCAGGCAGCAGATGCGATTCCTGGCGCTCATGTCAGATATTTGGAAAGTGGGCGCAATTTTATCGCTGCCGCCGTCGCACCTGCAAGCGAGAAGATCCCTGCTGGTGGCAAGTCTGAAGCAGGCAGCACGAATAATTCCGCTTTAGTGACGCCTGCGGGAACTGTTACTGGGCTTACTTCCGCGGCTGAGGAATCCTTGACACGCCTGGGGTCTAGAAGGAGGTGGGCCACGGACGACTGCGAGTTTATGTCCCAGATGACGTACGATTCATTTATTTTGAATGCGAAGCAGGAGGGCCTTCGTGGTGAAGACTTCGTGCACTTTATCAAGGATACCGCTGGCGTTCATAATTATGCCCTTTACGCCGATTGGAACTCCTTTGTGGCGAACACCACGCCGGAGGAATTCTACAACTGGGTACATGTTGCACTTGCGGCTGCCCTTGCTAAAGAAATGGGGTCTTTACTATCGAATATTGAGTTCAGTGGAAGGGCGGTAACCCCGTTAACGCTTCTGCCATCTCGTGGGTCGGGACACAACAGCCAGCAAAGGCGCGAAGCTGCTGTGTCATTGGAGCGGGCAGAAGTGATTAAAAACACTCTTGGTGTTCGAGATTTGCCCAAGTATGTTTCGCTTGAGCAGATGGTTATGGTGTGTTCGCTGGACGAAATAAAGCATCACGTCCCTCCAGGTATTATTTACGGGCAGCTGTCGCAGTTAATTCTTGCTGCTGCGAGGGAATCGTTGAGCTTTATCTTTTCTGGCGGGGTTGAGGAATAAACTCTCCTGTGCTGTGTGTGTATATCCTTTGCTCTCCCCTCCCTCTCTTTTTTCCCCCTTCGCTGACGACCCGTAACGTCGGCACGAGTGCTTCACTCGTGTTGTTGACGGCAGCCAAAACTGCGGCTGTCAAAAGGTTGCATTGGTATGTTTCCCTTTGTGTGTGCGTGCGCGTGTGAGTTTTGCTCCGGCTGTTTTTTTGTTTTGGATTTTTTTTGTTATTTGCTCTTGTGTGCCCTGTTTTTCCAGCACATACAGGGGAGAGGGGGAATTGCATGAAGCGCCCGCGGCATGTGGCGGCGGCCCTCTGCCTCGCGTCCCTCTGCCTCTTCGCACTTCCTCACACGGCCGGCGAGGTCGCCCCGCAGGAGGGAGTCGTGGTGCCGCCGTACTGCGCCAGAGGGCCGGAGTTGCAGGATGGGGCGGAGGAAGCAGACAACCCAGACGCACAGCCCGGCGGGATTGGAACCGTGCGAACACACGAAGGATGCTTTCAGCAGAGGCGGGACCGCTTCGTCGTGGTGAAGCCAAGCCCCACGCTGCCATGGTCCAGGCCACTGCCGCCTTGTCAGCACTTTTTGCAACGCAACGAAACGCTGCGGCTCCACTACCTCGTCTCTGATCTTTGTCGCATGGGACACACTACGAAGGACGCGCCGCACCTCATGACCTTCCTGATGGATTACCTTGCCCCCTGCTCATTCCAGTGTCGGCGGGCGTCAAGAGGCGAAACCGCCGCCAAGCGGCTTCGCGTGCAATTGACAGTTCTCTACGGCAACGTTTGTGCGTCGTACCCCGCGCCAAGGCTGGATGAGCCCTTCCAAAGGGTTATTCTGCGGTGGTTTCACGCCGTGTTTCGTGGTGGCTCGCCCTTCCTTGAACTGATGGCGGGGTGGGGTATTGACTTTGTTCTCCCTGCCCGCGCTCCTGCGAAAAACACGCTGCGCTTAACTGAAGTTTTTTACAAAACGGCGATGTCCAGTGGCGGCTTTTTCTGCCCGCGTGATGAGGAAGTGCCTCCGGCAACCCCTACGCCGGGCTCTGCTGAAAAAGAGAGCAGTCAACATGCCTTGTGGATTGTCACGCGATGGGAGCGCTTTCGCTGGTTTCGAACGCGTGCACAAGCGAGTCTCTTTCGGCGTTGCCTGTTGCATTATTACAAAATTTCTCCCCGTCCGGCTGATCATAGTGTCTTGTTGCTTCAGCGCTTAAATGAGCGACGCTTTGATGAGATTATTTGGCAGCAGAAGCTGCAGACACTTTTAAACCCTTATGGAGTTTCTGTGTCGAGGCAGACTTTCAGCTCCATGTCGTATGCCCAGCAGGCTTCCTTCATGCATAACAGTTCTATTTTCATCGCCTCCCATGGGGCGGGAATGGTAAACATCATGACCATGTCACCAGGGAGCGTGGTTGTGGAACTGTTTCCACACGGTTTCCGTTATGCCATGTATGAGGAGTTGGCGGTATTGTTGGGCCTGCATTATATTGCGTATGAAAGCCCAGAAGTTTGGCCACCGCGTTGCTGCAGGCAGCGTGGGGGAGACACATCAACACGGCTTGAGCCTCCGCTGCAGGGCAACCCGCCCAAGACAACCTTTGGCGCGCGTTCCTGCAAAGAGTGTGACATTAAGATTTTGGAAGAAGACATGGACAGCATTATATTCGATGCTTTGGGAATCGTGTCCGCCAACGGTCGTCTGCGCTCACTTCGTACCGTGAAACTCGAGCGAGGGAGTCTCCCTTTCGCAGCCGTAGGCGGATAAAACGGCAATGCTGTTTGGGAGTTTGTGGCATGACTGAGGAGCGGGGTTGCTTTCCCTTTTGCTGCTGCCCCGTGGCTTCTCGCGGCTTGATTGCGCGTGTATGTGTACGTGTGTGTGTGTGTGTAATATGTTGCTTCACTTTGCGCTCCTTCTTTTTTATTCCCCGCGCCGCTGCTCCTGCTGATTTGTCCATTTTTCTCCCTTTCCTACCTCTCCTCTGAATTCGCCCCTGCGGCGCGTTTTCCTTCCCCCACACCGCAGTTAAGCACCAGCTATTCTAATCCAAATTAACCAACACGCTAAAGGACACCATGGCCTCCCTGAAGGAACTCAACGGTCGCCTCGGCACTCAGCCCTACGTCGCGGGCTACAGCCCCAGTCAGGAGGACGCGAAGACGTTCGCCGGGATGTTTGGCTCCAACACAGCTGTCATTGAGTGGGCCGCGCGTATGGCGTCGTACTATCAAGCTGAGCGCGAACAGCTCCTCAAGGGTGCCGCGTCCTCCTCGAAGAAGGCCGCTGGTGACGACGACATTGACCTCTTCGGGGACGCGACGGAGGAGGAGACGGCTGCCCTCGAGGCCAAGAAGAAGAAGGACGCCGACGCCAAGAAGGCCAAGAAGGAGATCATTGCCAAGTCCTCCATCCTGTTTGACGTTAAGCCGTGGGACGACACCGTGGACCTGGAGGCGCTGGCGCAGAAGCTGCACGCCGTTAAGCGCGACGGCCTGCTCTGGGGCGACCACAAGCTGGTGCCCGTGGCGTTCGGTGTGAAGAAGCTGCAGCAGCTCATCGTCATTGAGGACGACAAGGTGTCCAGCGACGACCTGGAGGATTTGATCATGTCTTTCGAGAACGACGTGCAGTCCATGGACATCGTCGCCTGGAACAAGATCTAACGCGCCCCTCTGCTGCCATGAATCCAAAGTGGGAATAGGAACGAGAGAGCGTCCGTGGCGGTCTGCGTGTCTTTATGAGTGGCCTGCGAGGAAGCAACGAGGATGATTATAAGGAAACTAAGTAAATAAGTCGGTGGGTCTCGCGTCATGAATGCAGGTGCGCCCTAGAGAAGCTCAACATGGATTGGGGTGGGGGAAAGGAGGGCCGATCACGCGGCGGAAAAGGACTCCGTCCCTGCGGCTCCTCGTACTGTCCTCCCAGGAGGGAAAACATTTGATGAACAGGACACTCCGTCTATTTATTTGCACAGCGAACATTTAAAAAAGAAAGAAAAGAAGAAGTGCCCCCCTGTCAAAAAAAAAAATTTTTTTAGTGGGTTGTTCTTTTTCATTGTTAAACGAAAAGAAAAGAGAGTGGGGGAAAGGAGGCAAGAGTGTATCAGGTGCTTAACGGGGACAGAGAAGCAGCAATAATGCGCACGTGGAGCACTGACTCTCCTCCAATGGCCCCAGCAGTTGGCCGCCAGTAATGGCGCCAGTGGCTCTGGGCCCATGTGTTTAGCGCCACGATTATGCTGTCTTATCTTTCTTTCGTTGTCTCTACTCCTCTATTTGGCCTTTGTCTTTTTGTCTTCCGTTTACTTTGTGGCCTAGCTTTCAAGCCTCACCCGCGGCAGAAGCGACGTTCATCGAGGAAAGAGCAAGGCAGGGTAGGAAACAAGAGTTTCGGTGGTGGTGGAAAGAGCAGCAAGAGAAAACCAAACAAAAAGACGGAAACAAAGAACGAAAGAAGGAAAGAAGAGCCATGAGGCGTCTTGTGTGTGGTCCCGTGGCGTTCTGCATGTCTGTTCACTCTTGGAGCTCACTCGGCTGTGGAGCAGTGGAGCTCCCCATCGCCTCTCGCGAAACGCAGGCCATGTGCGAAGCGGCGTCTTGCACGTCTCGTGTCAGTTTCGCGACACGGTCGCCGCTGCTTCTCCAGTCATGGGCGCAGCGGGCGAATCGGGTCTGGATGTGCGTCAAGGAAGAGTGCCGTCACGTGAACAACCCCCACACCACCGAATGTGAGGCGTGTGGGGCCGCCAAACCGAGCCTCAAGGGGTGGCTGTGTGTGGAGTGCGGGACACGCAACCACAAGGGGGTAAAGAAGTGCCACAAGTGCACCGCAGCCGCGGAGAATAGTGGCGAATTCTGGATGTGTGCCGCGTGTGAACAGAACAATCGCATTGATGACCTGGACGATAACAGTCGCTGTGGATTTTGCGGCTACGACATGGCCCCCATGACAATGACCGAAGCAGAGGCACTCCGCATTCAACAAGAGCGCTCGCAACGACTCCGTGAGGAGCAGGAGCAGTTTGACAGTATCTCTGCAAAGGACGCGGATGAACAGTTTGGTGACGAAACCGCTGGAGCCTCAGCGCTCCCAAAGGGCCTGCGACAGATGCCGTCCGCTGCCGCCTCGCGAACCCCCCTCAAGGTACCTGAAGTGACGGCATTCACGCCATCTCCCGTGGCAACGGCGCATTCACGCATTTTGAAGAAACCGAGGCGAGCAGTCACGACGGGCATTCCACCTGGACCACCAGGTTTTGACTGGATGTGCCGTGACCCCAGTTGCGGGACTATTAACGCCGGCGACGAGGAGAGTTGTTCCAAGTGCGGTAAACACATCACCCCCGCCGAGTGGGAATGCTGCCACTGCGGTGCAATGAACCACTTGAGTCGCTCACGCTGCTTTAACTGCCACATCATCATCCCTGTCTCGTGGGTGTGTTCCGGCTGTAAAACGTCGACAAGCATCTATGATCGTGATTGTCGTCAGTGTGGTGAGCCGCGCCCTGCCACTGAGCCGAAGGATCCCCGCGACGTACAACTTCCAATGCACGCAAGGGGTCCCGCATTTGCGGGCGGTGGCAGAAGACAAATGTCACGTGCTCGGGACTGGAACTGCGCTGAATGCCACGGCCTGAACTTTGCATCCCGAACAGCGTGCTATCAATGCGGTGCGCCCCGAAGTGCCGCTGAGGCGGATTCATTCGATGGTGCGTCGTCAGCCTCAGCTTCGCCGAACGTGGCGGTCAGCCACAACAATTGGTTCTGCCGTCACTGTCAGGCGAGTAACTTCCGCACCCGCACCAGCTGTTGGCAGTGCGGTCAGGCTTCTTCGGAGTCTGGCGCGACATCGTGGTCCGACGACGACGCCACACCGCACTTTGAGAAGGAGGGCTTCCAGCAGGAGTCTGACGAGAGCGTTGCCGAGGGACAAGTCAACGTCTGGGGCAAGAAGAACGACGACTGGACATGCGGGAAGTGCTTCTCGAAGAACTTCAAAAATCGCCAGGAGTGCCACAAGTGCGGCGCGGCAAAAACTGTGGCGGTGGCGCCACGCCGTGCCTTTGTGCGTAAGCCCGTTAAGATTTGAAGGCGCCGACCGCCCTGGCGCACTCACTCCATTACTCACATTGCGCTTCCAAAGGCAGAGGGCCAGCCGAAGGCAGCGAGGGAAGAGAGGAAATGAGATGAAACACTGCGGCGAGCAGGCCCGAAGCACTTCACATAGCGTTTGTATCCTTGTTCCACCTCTCCAACGTAGTGTTTTCTCTTTCGTTTTCGATCTGCCTTCTTATGCATCCTTGTTACTGTCAACGCTACAATGGAAATTTTCGATGCTGAGCAAAGTACTTATCAGGCTTGTAAAATTTATTTGTATGTGTGTCTGTGGGAGGGCGCCGCTTGCCTCTTCCAATTGCATTTATTTGCTCTCTTTGTTGTTGTTGTTGCTTTTCTTCTTTCGTTCTCTTGACACGCACACACGTGCCCGCTTGTTCACTCTGGTTCAGTGGGTTGGGCAAAATACGATGCGGCGGTTGGCTTCCTCGTGGTGCTTCCTCCTCGCGGCGGAGAGAACCGTGCGGACGGCGTCTCTGTTTTTTAGGCCGGGTACCTCGTTCCTGGAGGAAGACCTGGAGGACGAAGAGCGACTCGCCCAACTTCTTGTGCAGGGCGCCCCCACGGTGGCGGCAGCGACCCCGGCCCCGTTGCCGGTGTCACCAGCTACGGATTTCCCGACATGCACTGCTTCTGTCACCACGTCAGCGGCGGCGGCAGTCGCGGAGATGGGCGCCAATACGGCTGAAGAAGCCACATTGGCTAACGATATGTTCTTGGGGGATGAGGATGCGGCGTCGCCGCAGCGGGGTGGCCTTCCTATCAGGGTTTCTCGTCTTGAAAATCAACAACTTGCAAAGTACGCGCACATTCGATGCTCAATGCATGCAAAGTTGGTCAAGGAAGGTGCGGAACCGGTGGTGGGGCCCGCACTTGAGTGGATGTGCGTCCGATGCCGAACCTACAACTTTGTGGGCCGAAAGTCGTGTAGGCGATGCAACCAACGCGATGTGGAGTCCTTCAAACACAATTCGCCTCCTGCACGTCACATTCCACTATTCCCCTCAGTCTGGACATGTCATTTTTGCGGCTGCGTGAACCGCTCAGAGCCCAACAACGCTTGCAGCCGCAACAAGTTTTTCTGTGACGGTTGTGGGAAAAGGTTTGCTGGTGTGCGTGAATGGTATTGCCCATCGTGTCACTGTATCAATTCTCGAGGTGCAACGCAGTGTGCAACGTGCTACAGTGAACGTCCGCACTGTTGGACGTGCTCCTCCTGCAAATACGAGAAAAATTCTGTTTTCGCCACAGAATGTCGTAGTTGTCATGTTTCCTGCCAAAAGCAGGTGTCTGACTCTACCGTTCTTTGTCCAACGTGTCGTCAGCGGAATGATGCGCAGTGGGAGATGTGCTTCTTCTGCATGACGCCACTGGGGATGATGCTGAGCGTACGGAGGCTGCAGGAGAGATTGGTTGACGGCGTGAAAGAGACGGCAAAAATCTTGCCTAGTGAAGCCGAAGACCGTGCGGGAAACGGGGGTGGGGAGGAGGGTTGCCAAGAACCCACGACACCGGAGCCGCCTCCGACGACTTGTGTAGAGGCAGAAGCTGCGGCGGCGGGGGAAGAGGGCAAGATGCCGACAACTGCATTTCCATCACCGGAGCAGCAGGAGGAGAGGATTCAGAAGCACTCAGCGGTGGAATGCCAGCAAAAGCAGTGCCCCACGTGCGAGCAGGTGAGCCCTACGGGGGAAGAACAAATCCCGGAGCTTGCGGGGAGTGAGGAGGGAACATGGTGGTGCGACGAATGCCAAGTCCTGCAGCGGCGCAATGCGGGGTTTTGTGATATTTGCCTGAAGCCGAAAGCCCTTGCAAAGTCGGGGACGACGGTCACGCGGCGAGAAGGAACGATGAAAAATGAACGGATGTGTGAAACATCTGCCCCTCAGAAGGGGGATGCGTCACTGGGCTCAAAGCCCGAGGAAGCAGGTGAGGAGCGACGCAAAGACCAAGAGCAAATGGGGGTTGTGGCTAGGGTGTTAGTGGATACAGCCTCAGCTTCCCCTTCTGTGGGTGATACAGGTCAATGGCGATGCCCATATTGCCGAAAGATGGTGAATGTTATGGAGATGTCATGTTGCGGCGTACCACGTGAGATTCCATTTGGGTATTGGCTTTGTACTACTTGCTGCAGTACAAACCGTGACGAGCGGGCCAAATGCATGGGTTGCGGTGCAGCACCACCTGCAAAACCGTGGCGATGTTTTCTCTGCAGGTTTAGAAACCGTAGTCAGGACCTCTTCTGTGATCATTGTGGTTCTGCGCATCCCCACCACTGGGAGTGTGCAAAGTGTGGTGCGAAATGTCAACACGCCTCCCACGGGAGGTGTTCTTCATGTGGCGCGGGAAAGCCCTCGCAAGAGATTATTACTTGCCCAACTTGCTGTGCCCCAAATCGCCCGTCTCGGAAGAGTTGTTATCGGTGTCGGGGACGTTTGTCCTCTGATAGGTGGCACTGTGGTGTCTGTGGCTCAACGAAGAATGACAGGCAGGCGCGCCGATGCGAGGCGTGCGGGAGTCCACGCGAGTACAATATGAACGAAGTCACATGGATTTGTGACGTGTGTGACACAGCAGTGGCCTCTGGGGGTGCGTTGCCTGAGCGCACGCAGTGCCCTCGCTGCTGGTCTGAGCGTACTGAGCGAAGCTTGTGCCTGCCCAGTCGTTGGCGCTGCCAAGGCTGTGGCTTGGTGAACGTCTATGCCCTCCCCGCCTGTGCGGAGTGCGGTGGCAAGCGTCTCTTGGAGCGTTTGCGTACCCACACTACCTGCCCCTCCTGCTTCCGTATAACGTCGTTGACGGAGCAGGAGCAGTGCGGCAGCTGTGGCGCGGACTTCTCGTCAGTCATCAACGAGGCGGGGACCCCGGTTTCTCTCTCTGGTCTCTCATCCCTCCTCGCAGCTCCTCCCCCTCCCATTTCCCCCGCGGAGGGGTCACTGCAAGCAGGCTGTGTTAGGGACACTGCTTCTCCTACGGCCGAAAGGGAAACCGCGTCCTCCGCTTATTCCGCCGCTGGCAGCGCGTGGGCACCGAAACGGTGCGTGAATGAGCAACCGCACGAAGCAGAATCTCTCGTTGAGGGGAACAGTCACATGGAGGCGGCCCTGGGTGGTCGCGTGGGAACCTCCACCTCCACCGTGTCGTCGCCGTCAACGGGGGCGGGTGCGGCGTCGCAAGCGTCTTCGCTGCGCTCGAGTCACACCAGCGGGGTGAATGGCCCGATGGAGGAAATGGCGGAGGAGGACGAAGAAGAGGTGGACTTGGAAGGTGTGAGGTGGGGCAGCGAAATTCCGTCGTGGATGTGTGGGAACTGTGAGACCACAAATCTCGAAGAGGCCGAGACGTGTGTGTTTTGCGGTCTTCGCCGCGGCGATGAGTGAATTCAGATTAACTTACTTGCTAATGTTCACGGCCGCAAACGCGTGACTAACGAAGATGGAAATGCACGCACAGGCGTCTGTTGCTGTTGTTGTTGTTTTTTATTAATTTTCTTTTTTTTGTTTGGGTGTGTTGTTCTGGAGGTGGAGGGGAGAGAAGTGTTTTGTTTGCGATGTGGGGCTCTGCTTCGCCACGCCTCTGTGCGTGTCGCTCTTTTTTCCTTTGCCTGCACCCCGTCTAGTTGCGCCGCCGCGACTAGGTGGAGGAAACCCAAGACTACGCGCAGGAAAAAGGCGATAGCAAACCGGAAAAGCGAAACGAAAAAACAACAACAACAACGAAAAGAAAGGAAGAAACGGAAAAGACCAACGACAGCAACAACAAGGAAGAGAAATGGCGGACGAAGGTTGGATCATCGAGTCCATCGTGCAGTTCACGCACTCGCCGCTGTGGCGCACCCCCATCGACAATTTTATTGACGACAACTGTTTTCTCTTCAGCGACGATGCGGAGATGAAGGTGGAGCAGACGGAGGTGCATTTGGCCTTCCGGAAGCTGGCGGACGACCTCATCACCGCTTTTGTGGAGGAGCTCGGCGTCCCGCTGGAGACCGTCCTCGAGGTGGTGCACAGGTACGTGAATGGCCAGACCCCGCTGCAGCAACCCGCCGAACAGTTTCTCAGCAACATGTTTTACATGGACGACTTTCGCTCCTTTCACAAGATGATGCTGAGGCGGAATATTCAGCTCGACATTCTCGCCTCGCGGGCGCTGCAACGCCAGCAGGAGGGCCTCTCTGGAGAGGCGTCGCCGGAGGAAGAGGCGGCGATGGACGAGGAGGAAGCCCTCCGCTTAGCCATCAAGGCCTCGCTTGAGGATGAAACGACCGCACGCAGGATGATGGAGCTGGAAGACGTTCAAATACAGGAGGCCCTCGCCTTGTCCATCGCGGCAGAAGAGGAGCGTGCCCGACGTGAGCGCGGCGGAACAGCAAGGGATGGGGTCAAGAAGGAAGCCACTGAGGTGGAAATGACAGGCGTTGAGCATGCCGTCAAGGAAAACCTCAACAATTCGGTCGAGGAGAAGGAAAATGTCATTGAGAAGCTGGAGGCCCGCGCACTGGAGGTGCGGAAGGAGACGTTGATGCGCAGCGTCGGTGCAACACAAAAGTTGCCACCTTCAAGCTTGGACGTCCACCCAGCGGGGCAGGTTCACGCAACTGCGGCTGCGTCGAACCAGCAACCGGAAGCGCCTTCTGCTCCGGCCTCAGCCACGGCCAAGCCGCCTGCAAAGAATGTGGCGCCGCCGCCGCCTGTGCCGCACGCTAAAGGCATTGGTTTTAAGACGCTTCCTTCTATTCAGCCTTCCTTTAAACAGTTGGAGACTGTGGTGATGGGAACGGCGACGCCGCCCGCACCGCAGCCTGGCAAGCAGCCCGTAAACACACCGGCACCTGCTGTGTCACCTCCTACATTGGAGGAGATGGAGGAACGAGCACGGCACATGCGTGAGCAGCGGGAGAAAATCTTGATGCGGAACAAGGCTAACAGAGAGAAGGAGTTGAATGATTATTCCGCCGGTGGAGTAAAGGCCAAAGTAAAACCGAGTAGTATTCAGGAAGGTCACAAGCAGATGACACTGGAACTTGCGCGGCGTCTGCGGGAGGACATTGTTCGCGAAGCCACCAAGTAGGCTTGTTCAAGGGGATAAACTTTTTCTTCTGCTTGTCGCCTTGACGAGAGACATGACTTGTGCGGGGAATGTATTTTTGTCTCTGCCAGAGGTAAGCCCGTTACGAATTGCGGGCATACAGCGGGGAAGCAACTCTGGTTGGAAACTGCCGAGTTTTGTTGGTTTTCTCCTATTCTTCCTCCTACTGGAGTACACCGAGCCAGTACTGAACATGCTCGAATGCATGGAATACGGTTGCTAGGAGGGAGTCAAACACTATGTCGGGTACTTTAATGAGTGGTATCACGTTTCTCCCCAAGCTGGGGGCGGGGTCTCAAGCAAGCAACGTGCACTTGATTCTGCTGAGTCGTGAAGGTGAAATTGCGGAAATGCGTCTTTTTTTTTCTATATCTGCCATTCTGGGGGAAGTGCGAAGAAGCGAACAAAAATGCAAAGGAATGGGATGTCTGCATGAAGCAACGCGTGGCAGTATTCTGATAAGCACACCTGTTTCTGTTGTTGTTGTTGTTGTTTTTTTACGCGGATATGGAGTGGAAGTCTCCACTTCCTTACTTTGCGTTGAGGTGTGTGGCTTGTTCAGTCTCCCTTTCCGCTGACAACTATTTTAATTTCATGTAAAGCAATGTTGGTGCCGGAGAAAACACGCAGGGTAATTGAGAAGTGAGGTGGCGTAACGCCTTCCATCGTGGCACACACCCGCTTTCTTTTTTCAACTGTCCCTGCCTCTGCACTGTGGCAAGGAAGGGAAGGGAAGTGGGACACTCTTCTCGGTCATGGCGGGGCCTAGCTCGGCTGAGGGGTATATTGTCTCTGTGGAACTTATTTGCGCTGAACATTTGCAGCGCACCCTGCTTGCGTGCGACGAGGCGACGGCATTTCAGCGCATTGTGGCTCAGGCCGTTGTGCTCCATGGAGGCCGTTGGGGCTTTGAGCAGCACCACGCTTTGGGAGTTGGCGGGCATCATGGGTTTCCGCCGGGAAATGGAATGGCGCAACAGGACGTGTGGAAGGCTTCAAGGGGGGCAGTGTGTGCGGATCGTGTGTTGGAGCGGCGAGAAAGGTTTATGCAAAATGAAGGGAGTCTGCTGCGCAGGATAGCATTGGCATCTAGAGGCATTCGCCAAAGTGGCGCGGCGTTGTATGCCCCAAGTGGATCTTCCTTTTGACACCTAGTGCTGATGGCCTTTGTGGAGCATTTGTTGTTGTTGTTGCCGTTGTTGTTTCCAATGTTTCCCTTTCTGCGGCTAGCACCTGTCAACTCCCACGTTATTTCTCGTTGTTTCTTCCTGGTGTGTGTTACCTTGCGGGAAGCCGAAGACAAGAGGTCGGGAAAAGTGTAAACTCGGTGTGTGTTAGCACAGACACACACACATACAGAGATATATATATATATATAAATATATATGTATATATCCGCTGCAAAGAGGAGCGGGATATTCGTTTCAGTTGGGTTTACTTCCCAAAAGGAATGAAGTTGCTGATTTTGGGGGGACCAGTGCCGGGTAAAGTTCACGTCGACATCACACCGGATAAGCCATTTGGGGAGGTATTTGCCTTGATTCAGGAGGCGATTGATAAAGGGTCGCTTTGGGACAAATTTCAGCTTTACATGGCGGAGGTGCATGACCAGAAAGTCAGAACCACAGCCCGTGTCATTCAGTCCACGGATACCGCAGCATCCCTCGCTCTTCCCTCATCGGGTGCCGTGGTAGTGCTGCGTCCACTGCATCCGCCCCCTTCAGCGGGGTCAAAGGCCGGGCTCACAAATGCTGATGCCGCTTCCACGCCCCAGACCTCGGCACGAGGCGACTACCGCAGCCGCATGATCGCCATGTACCAAAGGTATGAGCCATCGAAGCTGGGGTCGGTGGATGCGTCGCTGCTAAAATTCAAGGGGAGGGAAGAGGCAGTCATTCGGCAGCTTGTGAAAAAGTATGGACCGGAGCCCGACTCTGCTGCTAAAAGGGATGAATTCCCTCTCACACCTGTGGAAGTGGCAGTCCCAGAGCCTGGTGCCTTGTTTCACGCAAGCAATGATGCGCCAAGCTACCACGATCGTTTACTAGCCATCTATCAAACTTATGCACCATCAAAGGTGAGGACGGTGCGTGCCACGCTAGAGAAGTTCAAGGGGAGGGAAGAGGCCGTTATACGGCAATTGGTTAAGAAATACGGTCCGGAGCCGCCTGTCAAGGCCAATACGCCTTTAAGCCCTACCTCCAACCCGCGGCCGATATCCTTAGCTATACCAGCATCAACATCCGCGGTGGGAGTAGCGGCAGCAGCATCACCCGTGGCCGCTTCCACGCCCCAGACCTCGACACGAGGCGACTACCGCAGCCGCATGATCGCCATGTACCAAAGGTATGAGCCATCGAAGCTGGGGTCGGTGGATGCGTCGCTGCTAAAATTCAAGGGGAGGGAAGAGGCAGTCATTCGGCAGCTTGTGAAAAAGTATGGGCCGGAGCCCGACTCTGTGGATGACGATTCTCTGCGTTCTCCACTCGATAATAACAATTCCGCCTCCCCTGCTCCCGCTACCGCATTCCCAGTGTCGCCCGAGGTTGAACTGGATGAGAAGGCGCCCATGTCAGCCTCCAATAAGCTCGAGAGCGCTGACGGTTTGCCTGATGGTGCAGCTCCGCCGGCGTCCACGAGCCCTAGCGCGTTCAACGAGAATGTCTCCTCGGAGCCGCCTCCACAGGCAACTCTGCCCCCCGCCTCCTCCCCTCTCTTGAAAGACAGCAACGAGCTACAGCTGGAATCCTACGGCTTTCAGGCGTTCATTTCCCCTACCGAGCAGGACCCGCTCGTTGAGCCGCTTTCTGAGGCAGACATTAACTCCACCGTCGAGGAGGCGGAACCGGTGACGGCGAGGGAGAACAAACGGACCAGCCTACCAAGTAATCTTTCATTCAGCACAGCCACCGCAATTATGGCAAAGGAGAAATTTGACACCACGTGGCCTATGCTGCGCGATCTTGAGCGATCGCCACCTCTGAAGCAGCAGAATCACATCCAACCGCTGGACGAGGGACACGTGCCTAACTTTGCAAACACGCGATTACAAGGTGTAAGGAAACGTGCTCTGGAAGCGCTCAGTGGGGCTACGGCGAAGCAGCTGGGGAGAGTTTACTGGCGGAAGTGGCAGTACAGAGTTGCACAAAAAGTGGCAAATGATCTTCTAAAGGAAAAGGTCTGGGTGAAAACCCATGACGGTGCAAGGCTTGTAGACACTCTTCCACATGGCCTTGATGTACCGAATCTTGAGGAGTACGTCTACTATAACCGCATTTGTGCGGGACGACGAAGCGTGGACTTCTCAGATGACGTGCAGAAGGCCTTACGTGAGCTTATCTACACTGCCAAGCAACACCTGATGGAAACCAGCGATAGAGCAGAGACACCATTCTTTTCTGATCAAGATCTCTGCCCTGTTCGGGACACAAGGGAACTTGCTGCATTTCTTCGCGTTTTAAGGAATCTGATTTTTGACTTCACCGAAGCAAAGTCGTTAGTTACCTTACGGCAGCGTGAAGTGTTGAAGTTAACCGACGCAAATGAATGCTTGCAAGGCAGGTTGGGAAAGGCGGAGACCTCGCTGTCTCACCTTGCTCAGGTGGAGGCAGAGCTAACTCTTGTTCAGGCACGCTGCGACAAGTTGAACGAAAAACTCGGGCAGGCACGGGAGGGATGGACAAGTGCAAGGTATCAGCTGCAGTTTCTCCGGCGTGAGCTTAAGAAGGAACGAAATCACACCCCAACCAACACGGAGGAATTGCTGCGGCAAAAAGATGATGAGTTGGCGTCCGTCCAGCGGGAACTCGCCAAACTGCGAAGCAAGTTGCATCGTGAGGTGAGGGAAAGGGAATCTCTGGAGTCGCAGTTGAAGGATGTGAGGGCGGAGGCGGTGCGTACGGCACAGAAGTTGGAGAAACTTTCGTCGTCAGGCAAGTTGGTCGGTCGAGACCGGCCTGTGGGAGTGGGGGCGTCCCGGCTGAATCTTCCCAGGAGAGCCTTTCCCTCCGGGTTTGCGCATATGCTAAAGACGGAGCAAATTTGGGGGGAAGATTTTTTGCCGCAAGGTGTGGCTGAAGCTACGGAAGTGGATATTCCACTGGAGGCAAAGACGAACAAGGATCTTGTGCGCGAGAATATACGGCTCGAGGTGGAGTTGAGGGAACTCGAGGCTGCCCCTGAGGAGGTTGAATTTGGACAGTGCCCGCACTGCAGGATGCGACTTACACCCTGCTCTGCCGCACCCACAGGGCCGCCGGGTGACAAGGCGGCATTTTGCTTCAGTTGTAGGCGGTCCTACACCTTTGGAGATCTTATGGCGCGGGGCAAATCGCCTCCGGGGCGGTCTGTGAAACGAGTGCGAGATGTCTCCCTGGAAGGCTTTGCGGGGATTAAGTAGTGGCTGTAGGAAGGGAGAACGAGGAAAGAAGAAGCTCAGGTGGGTATCCCTCGCCTTGCTGTGACACTTGCGCAAGAGAGAAAATGCATCGAATTTGATTTGTCATGAAGTGTGTTTATATGAAGAGGAGAATAAGAGGTGGAGGGGCAATAACAAAAGGAACCTGACTATGATTGCTTGTACTGTGTTCTTGTAGTTGTGTTTATCGTTTGTTTATATGTATATATATATATATATATTTGCGTTCATTTATTTTTTCCCCTTGCTGTTCTGTGTCCTTGGCGGGGAAGCACCATTGACACAGCGAATGCCTATTAAGATCTTTGACGAGAATCTCTTTAGCTGCCCCAGGTGCCGTCGGGCACATTACGTCAATGATAGCAATGTAGGTGTGTATGCTTTTATGCACTGCTTCCATCGCTTGCTTTATGTGCCTTCTATTTCTCCCCCACCTTTTCACATGAATTTTGTTTTGCTTATTTTTGTCTCTTGAAACAAGTTTGAGCGGCAGGATGGCAACGGCGCTGACGAGCAGCAACAGAAGGAACATCCCGGCGGTGTGCCGGATTCGCGGCCGTGGGTCGGCATTGCTTGTCTCGCCAGGTATTTTGCTGACATCCCGGCATGTCGTAAGCTCTTCGGAGGCGGCCGCGCAGCTTAGCGCCGTTTTCTTTGAGGGCTCTAAGAAAAAGCCAGTGGAGGTGAGGCTGCTGCCGCAGAAGCTCTTCTTTGCCGCCTGCTACCCAGACTACACGGACTACTGCCTTGTGGGATGTGAGGAGTATGGCATATTTAATGTCACGCCGGTGAACCTTCCGCTGACGCAAAATGACTGGGCCCCCGTGCGGGAAGGCGATATCGTCCTGGTGGTGCAGCATCCCATCTGGGAGGGCGGCGTTGGAGACGGCGCGGCCAACACCGACAACCCCGAGGAAGATGAGAATCCTGCATCCCTAGAGGTTAAACGATTCGAAGAGGTGCTGCGTTGCCGCAATGACTTATTTTACCTGAAGGCCAACGGGAATGTGCGAACAGCGGGTTGTCCTGCATTTAACGAGTGTGGCCAACTTATTGGTATGCAGTCACAGTTGCGCTCGGAGGGAGAAGGTGTGGTGAACCGGGTGGTCTCAATTTCCTCCGTCGTGAAGCATCTCTTTGCAAACAAAATGTTGCGAAGTATTAAACAAAAAAACACATTCGAAGAGGTATGGAGTACGTGGTACGTCAAGGATGACATTTCGCGAATTGTGTTAATTCTAGTGAACTTTGAAGATCGCGAGATTGCCCGTGCCACAGCGGCAAAACTGTGTGAGCACACGTGTTCCCCAAATCTTATCGGAAGCGTGGTGGCATCTGGCGGCGTCCAGTGCATCCTTTCCAGCCTACACCGATTTAATGAGGACATCGAAATGGTAGGCGCATGCATCCGTGCCATGTGGAATGTCAGTTTTGAGGAGACAAACGCCCAACGATTGCTTGTAGAAGGAGGTGGTATTGAGATGATTCTTGACGCCATGGAAAAGTATCCTGAGAACGAGGAAATTGCAGAGTTTTCAGTCGTTGTTCTGCATAATATTTCTACAGGAAGCAGCAAGCCGGACTTCTCTGGAGCCCTCGGTAATCGTGCGCTGCTGCTCGTGCACGCCGCCCTGCAACGCTTCAAGGAGACAACGGTCCTCCAAAAATTTGGTTTCAGCTTCTTTACCACACTTCTCCTCGTCAACCAGGGGAACGCCGAGACACTTGTGAAGTTGAACATCGTGGAGCATGCCGTCTACTTGGCGGAACGGAAGCAAGACCAGGTATTTCTTATGGAGGCCCTTATGCATTTTGTCGGGGAACTCGCGCAACACAGGAAAGCTATTGATCTTTGTTTTGTGAGTGGTGGACTCGCATCCAGTGCTGGGCGACACGTTATTGAAGTACTCACGTCCCTCCTGATTGAAATTATGTTCAAGTACCAAGAGATGGACACCATCTTACTGCAAGGCAACCGCGCATTGTGGGGCATTGGCAACGACATGACGTGTAGGGCAATGATTTTGCAGCACCCCATGAGCTACGAGGCTCTAAAACTTTCCCTGCCTGCGCTGATGGCCAAGGCAAGGGTGACATAGCTGCTTAGGTGCAGTTCCAACCTCATTACCCGAAAAGGAAGGGAAAAAAGCTCAAGTTGTTGTTTTATTCGTTTGCTCGTCGTTGTTCTTATTCCTGTTTGCTTTTTCCCCCTTTTGGACAAACGACGATGTATAGGAGTTCCTCACAAAACAGGCACGTCAGCATTCTCAGAGGTTGAATGGGGATGGGGATGGAGAGAGGTACGCGCATATATATATAGATATATATGTACATGGCTGTTTCACCATCTTTCTTGTCGATCTTTTTTTCCCCTTTCTTTTCTTTTCGAGTGTTCTGCCCGGATTTCTTTACGGTTTGCATTCTTCCTTTTCACAAGCTCTCTCTTTTTTTCTCTTTTTTGAGTTTTTTATTTTTCTCTCCCTCGGCTGTGAGGCCGTTGAATGACGTCACACGGGGAGAAGAGCTCTTCGCCTGTTGGAGGGGCTGACGCCATCTCTGACGCCGCCCCCGCGGAGGATTTGCAGGCATCCGCAACCGTCGAGGCTTCGCTGGGGCTGCAGCGGGAAACCAGTCGTCTCAGTGTACACGAGCCGCATCTGCCAGTAGCTGCTGCAGTAGGAGCGTCGGCGTCATCGCGGTGGCGTTTTGTTCCATCGCCGCAAAGTGAAAATAATAGGCGCACCCCAGCTCTCTCGGAATCCAGTCGGATCTTGACTCCGGTTCCAACCACCCATCGCTTGGATGTGGCAAGCGTCGGCTTATCGAATTCCTCGCCCCACGTGGCGATATTGCAGCGTGACAGATACGCAGCAACTCCCAATTACCACACGAGTTTTGATGAAATTCCTACAGTGGCGGAGGCAGACTATGTAGATAGTGACGTTGAGAGCAATGAAGATATTGACATCCATTCTTTGGGGGAACGACTGACGGATGTGTTGGAATGTTCGCTTCGTGGGGAGTCGCTTTCTCAACTAGGGGAACACCATAACACATTGGGGCGTGCAGCTTTTCATATATTTAAAGGGAATGTGGGAGCCGGAGTGTTTCTATTGCCTACGTATTATCAGGATGCTGGATACGGCGTTGGCTTCGTTTTCATGGCCTTATTAGGGTCACTCATGATTGACTGTGCATTGGCCCTTGTCAAAGCAAAGCAAAAGATTGATCTCGTGGTTGTGAGAACCTACCCTGCCGTTGTGGGACATGTCTTTGGTGGTGCATTTAAGCATTTTACGAATTTTTCTCTTATATTTACCCAATTTGGTTTTTGTGTGGTGTATATTCAATACGCCTCATCCATGTTTACAGCCCTATTTACTTCTCCGCATGCGTACCAGCTCTTTGTATTCTTGAGCGTTCTTATGGTGACACCTATGACCTTCTTTTCCCATCGTATGGGTGCGCTGGCGTACGCGTCCATGCTTGCTGCGGTATTTGTTGTCATTGTTCTGGCAGGCGCTGTCGGAGAGGAGGTGGATTCTCTCGCAACAAGCGGAGTCTCACCAGCGGCGGCGTTCTTTGTACCAACAATGCGAATTCTTGTATTTATTTCAGGGCATATGTTTGCGCTTGAAGGTATTGGTACCGTTCTTCCGGTGGAGAACAGTATGACCGTCGAGGATCTTCCACGATTTTCGACCTTGGTCAAGTACACACTGGCCTCCATTGTCGCAACCTATCTTGTCGTTGGTGTGCTTGGGTACCTTGCGTTTGGGGATGCTTTACAAACCTCGGTGGTGCTTGCGCTACCGCCAAGCAAGACGAAGTTAATGTTGCAGGTACTTTTGGGACTTAGTCTTATTTTCAGTTATCCTATTCAGTTTGTGCCTGCGATCCAGCTGGTCGACAGGGCCTTGGGTATTAGTGTGCGAAAAGAGCGAGGCAAGGCATATATTGTTCGAGTGGCGCTTAATATCTTTTTTGGCGCGCTTGCCGCCTCCATTGGGGCCGATACCGTGAATGTGTTTGCAAGTTTTTTGGGGGCTTTCACAGGGGTGCATCTCATGATCACCCTGCCGGTGCTTCTTGCCCTGTTTACGGATCGTGTGGTGGACAGCGCACAGGAGGGTGCAGAGTTTTCCTTTCGCGACTACGTCAAGTTATTCTTTACGCTGCCTGACACCCTTCTGGAATGCCGATGGCACGTTTACCTTTTGCTTGCCCTCTGCGTATGGATTGGTGGGACGTATTACACGTTTGACTCCGTCTTTAACTAACGCATGAAAGACTGTAATTCGATCGGAGAGTGTCGGCGTCGGGAAACCCAGTGGTCCGGGAGAGAAAGGGATGTGAAGTATGCCCTGTTGGGCGAGAAGTTGAGAAGTTAAAGAGACGCAATGCCACTGGGCTTTGCGGGGGGGGGGTGAGCCAGCGGGAACGCTTCGTGTTTGCGCTGCCAACGCATCCTCCGCTGAGCAGTCCTGGGATACTTTTTTTTTGATACAAAGAGGAGGATGAGAAGAAACAACAGCGCAAGCGATGAGTCTCCGTAACGGGGACATATGTACGTGCCTGAAACTCGTCGGAAGGGAAAGATGAGTGGAGGAGTCATTCGCACGTCTGATGCACATATCCATATATATATATATGCCCGTGTGTGTATTGATGCCTGCAGGAGGCACGAGAGCGGAGAAGGGGGTGGATGAGAGAGAACTGAAGGAAAGAAAGAGATGGAAGAGATGTTGGCGCGGAAGGAGGCGGGGGGACGCAATGGTCCGAGTCGACTGGAATCTTTGCTCTTTATATATATTGAATGGTGTTTTGTACCGGCGTGCATGTGTGTTGCTTGATCCTACCGGCGGGTGCCTATTGCGAGGGAGTCCAAGAAATGAGGCAGCGGATGGGGCACCTGCCGCGAGTTGGCCCCCGCCCCTCTTTTTTTCTCCGATGGGCGGGGTGTTTTGCGTGTCCCCAGAGTGGCAGAGTTGGGTGGCGGGGACATCTCCCTTGCCCGGGAAGCTACATGCATTGAGGTCGACTTCAAAATGTGTTCCCTTTCGCTCTCGCATGGTATTTTCTCCTGCTGCTCGCGCGTGTGCTGGGAGTGTCAAGAAAAAAAGGAAAAGAAGCTAAAACACACGCACACACACACACACACGCGTCCGCAAAAAGGTGCCAAGGGATCCCGCGCACAAGAGAAGTTGCACAGGGGAAGAAGATGCCTGCCCCCGAACCACAGCAGAAGGTATTGAAGCCAAACAAGCTCGTCACTGATGACTTTCAGAGCGATGACAACAGTCTTGTGATGATGCACCCCAAGCGCATGGAGGAGTTGAACATATTCCGTGGAGACACAGTGATGATCAAAGGCAAAAAGCATCGCTCCACCATATGCATCGCCATGGAAGACGAGGAGTGCCCTGAGGCGAGGATTAAAATCAACAAGGTAACACGTCGTAATATTCGTTGCCACCTTGGAGACACGGTTCACGTCAGCAGCTGCACCAATGTGCCGTATGGTAACCGGGTCCACATTCTTCCCATTGATGACACAGTGAAAAATCTGACAGGTGACCTCTTTGAAACCTTTTTGAAGCCATACTTTTTGGAGGCTTACAGGCCTGTAAAGAAGGGTGATTTGTTTGTCTGCCGTGGTGCGATGCGCTCTGTGGAATTCAAGGTGGTGGAAGTAGATCCTGGTGAGTTCTGTATCGTCTCCCCAGACACAGTGATTCATTGCGAAGGTGATCCGATTCGCCGTGAAGATGAGGAACGACTGGATGACGTGGGGTACGATGATGTCGGTGGTTGCCGCAAGCAGTTGGTGCAGATTCGCGAGATGGTGGAGCTTCCCATTCGTCACCCAGAGTTGTTCAAGAACATTGGCATTAAGCCTCCACGAGGTATCCTGCTGTATGGCCCACCCGGTAGCGGCAAGACACTTATTGCCCGTGCTGTTGCGAATGAAACCGGCGCCTTTTTTTTCCTCATCAATGGCCCCGAGATCATGAGTAAAATGGCAGGTGAGTCCGAGGGAAACCTTCGCAAGGCGTTTGAAGAGGCGGAGAAGAATGCCCCATCTATTATATTCATTGACGAGCTTGATTCCATCGCCCCAAAGCGTGAAAAAGCTCAGGGTGAAGTGGAGAAGCGCATCGTGTCTCAACTTCTGACGCTTATGGATGGATTAAAGACTCGCTCGCAAGTTATTGTTATGGCGGCCACGAACCGGCCCAACTCTATTGACCCTGCACTCCGTCGCTTTGGTCGCTTTGATCGTGAAATTGACATTGGCGTGCCAGATGAGATTGGGCGTCTAGAAATTCTTCGCATTCACACTAAAAATATGAAGCTCGACGCCGATGTTGATGTGGAGAAGATAGCAAAGGATAGTCACGGCTATGTCGGCGCCGATCTTGCACAGCTCTGTACTGAAGCTGCCATGCAATGCGTTCGAGAGAAGATGTCTGTCATTGACTGGGATGACGATACTATTGATGCCGAAGTGCTCGACTCCATGGCGGTCACAAACGAGCACTTCCGTGATGCCTTGACAAAGACCAATCCCTCTGCCCTTCGTGAGACACATGTGGAAACACCGCATGTTACATGGAGCGACGTCGGTGGTCTCTTGGATGTTAAGCGGGAATTACAGGAACTGGTGCAGTATCCGGTGGAGTTTCCGTGGAAGTTTGAAAAGTACGGTATGTCCCCACCAAAGGGGGTACTCTTTTATGGTCCTCCGGGCTGTGGTAAGACGCTCTTGGCGAAGGCGATTGCGACAGAGTGTCAAGCAAACTTTATCTCTATCAAGGGTCCGGAATTGCTAACAATGTGGTTTGGAGAATCAGAGGCAAATGTACGTGATGTGTTTGACAAGGCACGCGCCGCCGCTCCTTGTGTCCTCTTCTTTGATGAGTTGGATTCCGTGGCGAGGGCGCGTGGTGGTGGCCACGGTGACGGGGGGGCCAGTGATCGTGTGATTAACCAAATTCTCACGGAAATGGATGGGATGAATGCGAAGAAAAATGTCTTTATTATTGGAGCGACAAATCGCCCTGATGTTCTGGACCCTGCCATCATGCGTCCGGGTCGACTGGATCAACTTATCTACATTCCTTTGCCAGATAAGGCGTCGCGTGTGGCGATTATCAAAGCCAACTTCCGCAAGTCACCTCTTTCCGAGGACGTGGACGTTGACAAGATTGCGGCAGCCACGCACGGTTTCTCTGGTGCTGATCTTGCCGGCATTTGTCAACGGGCGTGCAAGATGGCAATTCGTGAATCAATTGTGAAGGAGGTCCAGATAGAACAGTTGAAGCAGCAGGGTGCCCTCGACAATGACCAAGACATCGATCCCGTCCCTGAGATTACACGCCTCCACGTGGAAGAGGCCATGCGTGGGGCCCGTCGCTCCGTCAGCGATTCCGACATACGGAAGTATGAACTCTTTGCCACCTCACTTCATCAGTCACGGGCGTTTGGCGACAACCCCATTGCCGGCGCCGAGGGTGGCAGTGGCGGCGCAGGCAATGCTGGCGATGATGACCTCTATAGCTGAGGTGTGTGGTAGCTGCTGTTGGGCATGTGCCCCCTCGCCTCCGCCCGACGCAGCAAGAGGCTAGAGATGGGGGGGGTGCGTGGGACACGCAGGACACAGAAAACTCAAACGGTGGAGGGAACAAAATAAAGAGCAAATACACTTAACTGAAA